GAGAGCGTCACGCGTGACTACATGGAAGAGGGTCACGCGTGACTACATGAGAGAGCGTCACGCGTGACTACATGGAAGAGGGTCACGCGTGACTACATGAGAGAGCGTCACGCGTGACTACATGGAAGAGGGTCACGCGTGACTACATGAGAGAGCGTCACGCGTGACTACATGGAAGAGGGTCACGCGTGACTACATGAGAGAGCGTCACGCGTGACTACATGGAAGAGGGTCACGCGTGACTACATGAGAGAGCGTCACGCGTGACTACATGGAAGAGGGTCACGCGTGACTACATGAGAGAGCGTCACGCGTGACTACATGGAAGAGGGTCACGCGTGACTACATGAGAGAGCGTCACGCGTGACTACATGGAAGAGGGTCACGCGTGACTACATGAGAGAGCGTCACGCGTGACTACATGGAAGAGGGTCACGCGTGACTACATGAGAGAGCGTCACGCGTGACTACATGGAAGAGGGTCACGCGTGACTACATGAGAGAGCGTCACGCGTGACTACATGGAAGAGGGTCACGCGTGACTACATGAGAGAGCGTCACGCGTGACTACATGGAAGAGGGTCACGCGTGACTACATGAGAGAGCGTCACGCGTGACTACATGGAAGAGGGTCACGCGTGACTACATGAGAGAGCGTCACGCGTGACTACATGGAAGAGGGTCACGCGTGACTACATGAGAGAGCGTCACGCGTGACTACATGGAAGAGGGTCACGCGTGACTACATGAGAGAGCGTCACGCGTGACTACATGGAAGAGGGTCACGCGTGACTACATGAGAGAGCGTCACGCGTGACTACATGGAAGAGGGTCACGCGTGACTACATGAGAGAGCGTCACGCGTGACTACATGGAAGAGGGTCACGCGTGACTACATGAGAGAGCGTCACGCGTGACTACATGGAAGAGGGTCACGCGTGACTACATGAGAGAGCGTCACGCGTGACTACATGGAAGAGGGTCACGCGTGACTACATGAGAGAGCGTCACGCGTGACTACATGGAAGAGGGTCACGCGTGACTACATGAGAGAGCGTCACGCGTGACTACATGGAAGAGGGTCACGCGTGACTACATGAGAGAGCGTCACGCGTGACTACATGGAAGAGGGTCACGCGCGACTCCATGGAAGAGGGTCACGCGTGACCACATGGAAGAGGGTCACGCGCGACTCCATGGGAGAGGGTCACGCGTGGCTACATGGGAGAGGGTCACGCGCGACTACATGGGAGAGGGTCACGCGCGACTCCATGGAAGAGGGTCACGCGTGACCACATGGAAGGGCGGTGGGCAGGGTCAATTCCTGTGTGCCTGGGTGACTAGGGGAGGGATGAAGGTTGGCTACAATGGTAGAATGATGTAAGCATAGTGGTCAGGCAGGCACTGGAAACAAGGAAGGTGGTTGTGCTGCCACGGCGGACAGAAGTATGGAAGAAGTATCTATATAAGGTAGGCGGCTGGGTGGTGACGAATAGATAAGTTGTAGATTCAAATACGTTAAGTGGAAATGCTGATGGTAGAGGAGTGATGGGCGGCTCGTGAGCGATGGCCAGAGCATGTCAGGTGGGAGACGGATGGAGCATGGGTGGGAAACAAAGGTGGACTAGAGTCCTCTCGAAGAGCAGAACAAGCGAATGAATATCTATTAAGGGGGATTTATCTGATTGGCTTACCTGATACAGTCTGAGAAGTCCAACAGTGGTCATCTTCACACAAGGGAGACTGGAAAGTGGCTGTTCACTCCCCCAGGTTGGAGACTCCAGCAATCCTAATCTGGTTCCAAAGACCTGGAGAATTCCTGGGGAGCCACTGGTCTTCAGCTCACCTAGGGAGGCTGAAGAAGCTGGGTTCTGATGCCGGTGAAAATGGCAGCAACCATGCCAGTAACAGCAACAAAGTGAACAAGTTCACCAGCGGGAGGTGAAGGTGAACAGGAAAAAGCTTCCCCCTAAAACTTCCTTATATTTGGGTCACCATCACAAACTACTGTCTATGCTTAGGGTGGATCTTTCAACCTAATCAAGAAAACCCGTCATAGTTGTACCCAGAAACTCACCTCTCAGTGGATTCCAGATCCTGTTAAGTTTACAACCAAGAGCAGTCATCATAAATGTCCAATAAATGGTTGGTGACTGGAAGGATAACAGGGTGGGTGTAGATGGGTGATGGAAAGCGAATATTGACTGGGTGGACTCGGGACAGGCAGATGGCCATGTGGTGAATGGAGGAAGGTTTAATAGTTGATGAGTACACTTGGAAAAGGGATTCACGCAAGTTGACTGGAGATAGGTAGATAACGAGGAGATGGTGGCTGAGCAGAAGGCAGTAAGTGTTGTATAATAAGTGGATAATTTAATGTACAGATGGGCCAATGGCAAGTGGAAAATGAGAGATCGCTGAGTGTAAATATCAAATGATAGTAGTAGGTGGGAGCTGATGGGTGCTGACTCGGTTAGCTGGGAGGAGCAATGGCAGATGAATGATTCAGAAGTGGAGCTCGACGGATTTTTCTACAATGGAAAAGTGGATAGATGGTCAATGGTACAGATTAGTAGTGAATTACGGCAGATGATGGATGGGTGGATACTGTGAGATGGATATTGAACAGGTAGACTGTGACAGACGAGGATAAGGTCGGGGGTGGATGGGTGGAGGTGGAGTGCGGGTCAGATAACTGATGACTGGTTATAGGTGATTGGATGGAGGCTAGCAGAAAGTTCGGGATACATGAACAGTAAACAGACTGATGATTTAAGTTGGGTAAGTGGCGCATGGATGCATGACGTTGTTATTTGATGGAAAGCTGTAGCACTGGCTAATTCTGGAGAGACGATGAGTGGAGTGGGTGGTGAGTGTCTGTTGGATGGGTGTTGCAGACATAGTGTGTCCACGTTTAGTACTCTGCTTGTGGATGGTCAACATGAGGGTACACTGTAGTTGGATGGGTGTGGTCATGACGGGGTGTTCTCGGTAGGTATTGGCCGATGGATAATCAGGGTAGTAGATGAATAACTTCGTGGAAGGAAGGTGGGTGGATGAATTACTAGTGGCTCGGCGTACAGTGAGGGCTGGATGCTGGGTGCAACGACGGGATGAGTATGTGGGGATGTGGCTCAATCACTGGGTGACAGGCAGCAGTCAGTGGGTGTTGGCTGCTGGATGGTGACTGGGTGATGGAAGGAAATGGGTGGACGGTAGTTGGAAGGTAATGGATCGACCATGGAATGAATGCCAGGCTGTTGATGGCAGACGATGGCTGCTGTTGAATGGTTGGGTGCGACGTGATTTGGATAATCAGATGATTGGATGTTGGTTGCAGGTCTCTGAGAGAACTGGGAAGTTAGTGAGTCCACGTTAGGTTCTAGTCCACTCCTAGAAGGCCAGTTGTGTAGATCACGTGTGTGGGAATGATGCGCTGTGGCCTTGGGTGTCAGATTTGCCTCATCAGACCAACTGTCCCCTCTGTTTAGACCCTCTGGGGAATGGGACTGCGGACGAACAATCCCACCCGGCCCCATTTCCCACCCTTTTCATTTCCCCTTCAGGTGCCCGCTTGCAGGAAATCCTCTCCTTACCTATCTGGCTCCACAAGACGCTACACCTCACACTCTACTCTTGAGAGTGGGGGAGGGATCTGAAGTAGCCAGGACCAGGTTCTGGCAATAGGGTGGTGTCTAGGGAGGTGGAGGCCAGGTCCTTCCGGCGGCCCTGCAGAGCAGAGGGCGGGAGTGTGAATGAAGGGCCGGCTGCGAGCGCGTGTGTGGGCGGAGAGCTCGGAGGAGGATCGAGGGAGGCGAGCTCCCGAGCCAGCGTGGAGGCCCTGCAAGCGCCAGCGGTGAGTGTCGGTGAGTGTGCGGGAGGGCACAACGCCCCCTCCCCGCCCTCACCCTCGGTTCCATCCGAGGTGCACCGTGGCAGCCAGGGGTGGGTGCATGGGGAGGAGGGCGAGCGCAGTGAGGAGTTAGTGGGAGCGCCCCGGGAAGGGACGGGAATGGGTCCCACGGTCCTCCTTGGCAACCTAATGCGGGGTCTGCTCTGCTGCCTGCCGCCCACCACACCTGGCCCCTTCCGCACCCCAGAGCGGATAGGGGTGTGGGCGGCGCTCACAGCGGTAGCTTTGGACGCCAGGCGCTGGGCAAGAGCAAGGCAGCCCGTGGGCACTTGCCCTCAGCTCGCAGTCCCTTTGTAGCTCCATCCTTGCTGCTATCTTGGCTCCCCAGATTTTCCCGTGGAACTATCTACCTCCGTTCTGCCTCTCTTCAGCTCCACTTGCATGGCCCCTGTGGTCACTCTCCCTCCCTCTTTTTCGAATGCCTCTGGGACATCTTTGGGTCTCTGTTCTGGGCTTAGCTGAGGTTCCTAGGAGGGTCTGAGAGCTGGCGGCAGCAGGCCACAGGGCACCCACCCCATGGGCTCTGGGACAGAGGCACTAAAGGCTGGGATAAGGCTGCTTGCTTACTGTCCCGATGATGTCCATCAAAGGCGCGCGTACCTCTTCCAGACTTCTCTGGGATTCCATGGAACCTGGGTGACCGAGGTGGACATTTCGTAGAAGGAACCTCATTTTCCGGGATTGGCAGCTGACCTTGCTGCACCCCTCCCTGAGTACCTGCCTCCCGGCAGGGTGTCTCAAACATTCCATTCCGCTGGTCACAATTTTGCCTTGGCCCCCCAAGTATCTGCCTCCCTCCTGGCAGGGTGTCTCAGGCTTCCCATCCTTCTGGTCACTATTTTGCCTGGGCCCAGTCTCCTCCCAGCTCCCAGCCTTCTAGCCTGTGGCCCCATGCTGCCCGTCTGATATCTGGCCACTGGCTGTTAAACCCCACCCTCTGGCCTAAGCTGGGCCCCAAGAACCTACTGGCTGCAGTGCTGGGGAAAGTCTGAGGGTGAGCCTGTGATTTCTAGCAGGGACTCTCCTTCCAGGGTCCTCACTGTGGAGGCGCTGACCCAGCCTCCCGACCTGTGCTGGCCTAGGTAGCATGACCATGTTTAGGCAAGCTGTCAGCTTCCCTCTGGCGGTAGGCCCTCAGGGCAGGGTCCAGGGGTCTGTGGGTGGAGGGGTGTTCTTAGGGAGGAACTAGGCACCTTGGCTTCTGGCTGGTTCCAGATGCTCCCAGCCTCCCAGCTCTGAAACATGTTTGGGTCCTCAGGTCTGCTGTGTTCTCTGTGGTCCCTTGCCTTCTGCTGCACTGCCTACCCCGCTGTTCATCCCTTAGGCCAGCTGACCGTCCTCCAGGAAGCCTTCCTGGCTCTCAAGACAGGGTCCATCTCTGTGCCTCTTGCCACATTTCTCCTCAGCCCTGGGCACTCACTGTGTGCCAGCTGTGCTCTCCCTATCAGGGAGCAGCTGGAGCCATCTTAACAAAGAACAGGCCTGAGCTGTGAGCACTGAGCCAGGCGTCAGGTGCCAGGGGAGGCTGAGGTGTGTGTGGGGGGGTGTTCCTGGAGTATAGGAGGAGGACCGCTTACTCCAGCTGCAGCGGACACCTCATTTCTACCTTTGTCTTTGTATAGCCCAGCATCGGCAGCAGCATGAGCACCCTGCAGTCAGAGAGTCCTGTGGAAGGCACCGGAGGCCCGGAAGGGAAGGTAAGTGGTTGGAGGGGCAGATTAGAGGGAGCCAGCCTTGAGCTCCAGCCTGTGACTTCAGATATACCTCCCTTCTCCGCTACCCTCAGTCTGCCCTTCCATGTGGGGAGGCCACTGTTACTTTTATAGAAATTTGGTGGGTAACACGATTGAAAACAAGCTACCCTTGCTTTCTTAGCACCCCTTCAGGACCCGGGGCTTCTAAGGCTTATTCCCCAAGCACATGACCACACTTTGTTCTCTGCAGGGTGATACAAATTTTTGTTTGTTTGTTTCGAAACAGGGTTTCTCTATGTAACTGCCTGGCTGTCCTAGAACTTAGATCAGAGTGACCTTGACACCACAGATCCACCTAGTGCTGGGATTAAAGGCGTGTGTCAGCACCACCCGTCAGGGAAGATACAATTTCAGGGTGCCCTCAGATCCAGTTTTTGTCATGGATGTTGATACAGCAAAATGTTTTAGTCTGTTCTAGGGTACACTGATGCACCCCTGTGATCCCAGTATTCTAGAAAGTGAGTCAGAAGGATCCACACCGGCCTTGGCTACATAGAGGGCTTCAGGCCAGTCTGGGGTATGAGACCCGTTTCAGAAGTAAGATCAGACGAGAGCCTAGACCCTGCCCAAAGCAGCAGCCTGGATTCTCAGTTCCAGAACTGGGTTAGGTCAGTGGAGCCGGTGAAGGAGGAGCAGCCTAGACTCTGAGCTCATGGGCACAGCTCTCCTGAAGGTCCTACTGGCCTGGCCACCTTCCCATAGTGGGTACCCTCCAGGCAGAGCCTCTGACTGAGGGGCAGGAAGCAAAGAGGCTCGAGAGGACGGAGGGGACGGAGGGGACGGAGGTGTGGCTTGGCAATGCCAGCATAGGGTCAGCCCCACGGGGGTCCAGCTGTGGGGGCAGGAAAGGATCCTTGCTCTGCTATCATCCAAGGCCCTTCCTTCTTTCCTTACACAGATGACTCAGCCTGGTGACACCTGCTCTCAGGCCTCAGGGTCACCTGCAGCACTTGGCTAAAAAGGTCCTGGGTGGAGCATGGAAGCATGTATGGGAGACCAGTGTCCAGTGGCTCTAAGTGGCCAACCAGGGGCAGTGTAACAGCCTGCCTGCTCTGGGCCTGCCTTCCTGGAGGCCTGTGTGCCACTGTGGGAAGGTGCACAGACACTAGGTGGCTGTCTTTGCCAGAACTCCAGGAGGACACAGAGGTGGGGTAGTGCGGGCAAGTCAGGACCTTGGGGCACCAAGGGATGGAGCTGTGTGAGACAGCCTCGGCCTTGAAAAGCCTTGAATGGGAGGTGGAGATGCTGAGGGCACCCAGAGGGCTTGTGGGCACTGAACAATGAGTGAGAGCCAGCTCTGATTGCCATGGCAACGTCTTCCTCGCTCCTCAGCTTGCCATGTGGAGGGAGGAGGCCAAGGACCCAGCAGGGAAGCGCCCAGAAAGGAAGAATGCTGGGTTCCAGGTACAGGAAGTAGCTGGGGTGCTCAATCCTGGGCTCCCTCCTGAGTGACTTGGTCTCTATGGTCTTAGGGTCTGTCTGTGAAATGGGCTTCTCTGGGTCTGAGCCCAGGTGAGTGTTATGGTGTTCCTTGGGTGTATAATCCCCAGTGGTGGGAAAAGGTAGGGGCTGTTCACCCTGCCTGTTCTTGAACTTCCTAGTAGAACAGGGTGGAGGGCAGAAGAGGCAGGGGGCCAGGAGCCCATGGCTCAGTATTGCCCAGAGCCTTCCCCACTCTCCCTTTAGGCTGCAGTAGGAGTCCGGGAGAAGGGCCCTCGGCTCTGCCAGAGACTGCCCTCTATTGTGGTGGAACCCACTGACGTGGGTACTGTGGAAAGTGGGGAGCTGCGTTGGCCACCCGAGGGCACCCAGAGGGGAACCCCTCAGACCCAGGCTGCTGCTGGTGAGTTCTCAGAAGACATTTCACTTGTCTCAGAAGCCACACCCACTTCCTGTCTGTGTTTGCGATTGGTGTGGGAACCCCAGCCCCCACCCAGCACCAGCACTGCCTTGCCTTCACCTGCTCCTCCTGAACCCATGCTTCGTCCTGTCTGTCCGTACCTGTCCCCTTATACATGCCTGAGGCTCCATCATCTGAGAAATGCACCCTCTCCCGACATCCAGCCGGCCTTCTGTTCTCCTTCCCTCTTGATTCAAGACCTTTGGAATAGTACACATTGCCCACAAGGACCTGGAGGGGCCAGGGTAAAGGGGCACATTTGGGAACATGGGTGCCTCATGTCTTGGCAGCAGGGGCCTTGGTGAAAGATTGGAGCTTCTAGAGGAGGGTGGGGCAGGAGGTGGTCAGTCCTCAGGGTAGCAAGCTGGCAGTGGAGGCTTCCCACTGAACTAGAGAGCCCTCTAGTTCTCTGGCCACTGAAAGCTATGGGCATGTGGGCTGAGCTGTACCCTGGGAATCCTTCCATCTGGAAGCTGCTGGAGAATCTCCTGAGCTGTGAGGAAGTGAGCTCAGCTCCCATGAAGGATGCTCAGAACCCCACAAACCCTCCTCCTCTCTCCAGTCCGCACTCCCTGGGAGTAGCCTTTATAGTAGCCCTTATATAGCTTGGGCCCTGGAAGGGTCTGTGCCCACAGCCCCCATTTCTACTCAAAACTCCTTCTCCTTCTGCCAGGCCAGCATCAGGGCTAGTGTCAGCAGGGACTGGCCCTTAGGTGGCCACTGAGTCTTGGACTCTGGAGAGGCCCTGGATCTACCACCCTCTCTCTGCCATACCCTTCCCTGAAGTGTAGGGCAGGGCAGGAAGGGCTGCTTCTGCTCCCAGAGCTGGGCTTCATCCTCCTCTGTTTCCCTACAAGTGTATCAGCCCCCCTTCCTTCTATCAGCCCCTGGGAAGAAAGGGCTGTCCTACCCAGATGTCTGCCTAAGACTTACCTTATGCTCCTAGGACCAATCAAGCTACAGCTCATCACCAACATAGAGGCCTTTGTGTATTTTTGTTTTGTTTTGTTTTGTTTTGTTTTTATTTTGCAGTTACTTCCTCCAGTCCACCAGGAACGCTAGGGAAGGCATCGGATCACGATGGCATGGAGGGGTCAGCTCTGGGCACCAGGCATTCCCCGGTCCAGTAACAGATAAGGGTATGGCAGGCTCTGCTCTCTGACCACTGAGACGGCCTTGATCCCAGGAGGACTGGCTGATTCACAGAAAAGTCTGCGTCCACCAGGACACCCAGCTTACCAAGCTTCCTGTCTGGCTCAGTGTGACCAGGACTTCAAGCCCTGCCTTTGTGCTCCATGGTCCAGATCTGGAGTGTACCCCTCTTTGTTCAGTGGTTTGAAGCAGAAATAAAGGTACCCTTCCTGGTGGCCATGGGCACCCCTGGTGGGGACTTGAGGTGCTGAGGACAATTTTGGTCTGACTGGTGACATTCTAACCTCTCCTAAGAACCTAGGCTGAGCAAGTGAGAGGGTTGGATGGGGTAAGCCCTGGGGGTGCTTGGCACTTGGACAGGGAGGGGGTGTGGCAGGCTGAGCACAGCCAGACTCCAGGGTGGGTCTGTTCAGAGCTGCAGAGCTGGCCCTTCTACTTCCTCTGCCTAGGGACCCTCTCTCTCCTCTTCCTCAGCTAGACCATCCTTGGCCTCCCATCCCTACTGGAGATCCCCTGGGGGCTAGACACCCTCTTGTGCCCTTCATCCTGGTACATTGGGGCACAAGGATGGTCTCTAGGGTGAGGGCCCTTCCAGCCTGGACCTTATGAATTCCAGCAAAAGTCCTGTTTCTTAGATGAGGAAATTTAGGTGCAAAATCAGGTGCCCTGGACTAGTTTTGCTGAGGGCTACGTAGGGACCCTCAGGCTGGTGATCCACCAAGCTGGCCATAATAGCCATGTGGTACCTTTGGTGGGCAAGTACCTTGTCCTCTCTTGAACAATGATCTCCACAGCCATATATGGACAAACTGCTTGGCTGTCTCACTGTAGGAGGGGAGCTGTGGCACCTAGTCATGGCTGGCTTGGGGAGCAGAAAGCTGACCATGCCTAGGGCCCCCTCTTTAGGTGTGCTGCCTGCCCTTAGCCAAGCCTGAGCCAGGCCTGAGGAAGTTCAGGGCCCAGCCATTAGGAAGTTCCATAAATGTTAGCTCGACAAAGCCCCCAGGCCCAGGCCCCACCCCGGGTGAGCTGGAAGGGCTGTGGGAGACACAGGCCTTCTGTTCTCGCCTGGCCTCTTTGCTAACCTCCAGCACGAATAAAGCAATTTCTCCAGCCCGCCTTCCTTCTAAATATAGCCTGGCCCCCAAACGCCAGGGGTGGGAGGGGAGGTGCGGACGTTTGCCTGGGAGTCTGCTTTAAATTTAAAACCGTGGGCGCTCTGGGTCCAGCGCCCAAGGTGTCTGTCTCCTTGGGCCCTACCCAGCTCACAGTTTAGAAGTGTTGCTGTTCCTCTAGAGCCTTTCTGTCCCCAGCCCTTCCTGTGGGTCCCAGAGCAAGGGCAGTGTGATAGGAAATAGGGAGGGAGTGGGATAGTCAGGGGCTGACCTTTGGGAGGAAGTGCTGCCCACTTCGGGAAGCACAACACAGCGGAGCAATGGGATGCCGCCACCTCTCTCCAGGGCAGGGTTATGCCCAGTTAAACCGGGTCCCACAGCGACAGTCCAGAGCCCTGAGAGGGGGTCTCCCGGGACCCAGGCCGTCTCCTTGATCTACCAGGGTAGCGCCTGAGTAACGATGACCCATTCTGGAGGTCCGAGAGCTAGAGGGAGCGTGGAGGGTCGGACCTCCGCCCACCCCTCTCCAAACTGTGGGAAAGAGCTTGGGTGGGGCCAGAGCGGACGCCACACCCACTCAGAAGCCCAGCCCAGCCCCTCTGCTCGCTGGAAGCATGAAATCGCCGTGCAGCTCCCCCTAGCGCCCGCCGGGGTCACTACGGAAACAGCAGACGCTAAGGTCTGGTGCATTTAGGTCGGCCAGAGCCCTGCAAATTGGCCTCAGAGAGAGAGTGGGGCGCAGTCCCCCTGCCCCCCCCCCAGACACCGCAGCCACCAGGGGCAGAGTGTGAACTCCACAGCCCTAGTCTTAGCCTGGACTCCAGTCTGGGCCCCTTAGCATTCTGAGCCACATTGACCCCGAGACAGGCAAACATCTGGTGGAGGGGCCTTCCTGCTCTTACTTATCTAGAACTCGCTTCATCCCAGCAATAACCCCATTTCACCGAAGAGTCAACTAAGACAGAGATGCTTCTCCCAAGGCCGCAGCTTCGGTTAGTGTCCTAGCTGGGTCTCTCCCTTCAACTAGCCGCTACGTGGCCTTCTTCTGACCTCGGTTTCACTGCCTTCGTGCCCCCGGCTTCTCTGAGACTAGGTTGGGACTTTTCCACTGGGATTTTACTGACTTTTCCAGGGGAAAGCAGCGTGGAAAAGTGAAAGAAACATCACCCGTTACTTGGTGTGATGGCACATCCTGTAATCCCAGCACTTGAGATGTGAAAACAGGAGCAGGAATTCAGGTCATCCTCAAGAACATAGCAAGCTGGGTTATCTGGGACCTTTCTTCAGAAAAACCAACCACCTGTTACTGAAGAGATGGCTCAGCAGTTAAGGGCATGATCTGCTTTTCCAGAGGACTCAGCCTGGTTCCCAGCACCCACGTGGTGGCTCATGATCAACTGTACCACCTCTTCCAGAGAATATGGCACCAGGAATTCGCAAACACAAATGCAGGCAGAACACTCGTATACCTATAAAGTGAGCAAATGGGGGCTGGGAAGATAGATAGCTCAGCCACTAAGAGCACCTGCTGCCCTTGCAGAGGCCCTGGGTTCCATTCCCAGCTCCCACATGGTGGTTCACAAACTGCCCTTAACTCTGGTTCCAGAGGCTCTGTTCCCCTCCTGACCTCTGCAGGCACCATGCACACACAGGGCACACATACATGCTTGCAGTCAAAAACCGCATAAAGTAAAGTAAATACAACTAATACATTTTTAAAAGCATATAAACAAGCCAGGCATTGGTGGCGCACGCCTTTAATCCCAGCACTCTGGAGCAGACGCAGGTGGATCTCTGTGAGTTCGAGGCCAGCCTGGTCTACAGAGTGAGTTTCAAGACAGGCTCCAAAGAAACACAGAGAAACCCTGTTTTGAAAAACCAAACCAAAACAAAAGAATCATAAAAACAAATTTAAAATTCTAATTTACTGAAAAGAATGTTCAAAAAACAAACAAAAATCCCAATGAAACAACAACAAAAACAAAGAAAAAAATCATGCCTCATGCTAAACATGGGCATGGGAAGTGTGGGGCTCGGTGAAACTTTGGGAGATGCCCAGGAGGTGTGGTTATTTGGGAGATGACAGGAGGGACAGAAAAATTCTCCTATGTTTCACAGTACAAACAAATGTAACACATCTTTTTGTTTGGTTGGTTGGTTTGGTTTTTCAAGACAGAGTTTCTCTGTGGCTTTGGAACCTTATCCTGGCACTCGCTCTGGAGACCAGGCTGGTCTCGAACTCACAGAGATCCTCCTGTCTCTGCCTCCCAAGTGCTAGGATTAAAGGCATGTGCCACCAACGCCCAGCATTGTCTTAAACTAATATTCTACAACATCATGCCATCTAGGGAGCCTAGGGCTGACCATTACTGAAGAAGTGATTAACCAGAGGGCGTCCTGGAGGAGGTGCCAATGGCTTCTGTCCGACTTGGCCTGTCTCCAAATAGTATGGGTGCTGTAGCATGCTTGGTATCTTCAGATCTGCTATTCATATGTTGAACTCTTAGGCCAGGACCTGAGAATGTGACCTTATTGGAGACAGGGTCTTTGAAAAGATAGCCAGGCTGGGTGGTAGTGGCATATGCCTTTAATCCCAGCACTCGGGACACAGAGGCAGGTGGATCTCTGTGAATTCAAGACCAGCCTGGTCTACAAGAGCTAGCTCCAGGACAGACTCCAAAGCTACACAGAGAAACCCTGTCCCAGAAAAAGAAAAAGAAAAAGAAAAAGAAAAAGAAAAAGAAAGATAACCAGTTAAAATCAGGTCAGTTAGGAGGCTGGCTAGGTTGTTATGTCAGCTCAGAAAAAGACAGATGTAGCTCTAAGCTGTCACCTCCGTCAGCCTGCTCATCTTTTGCCAACCTCAACTATGCCAAACCAAGACTTGTGGCTTTAAGAGGAAAAGAATTTCAAGACTAGGCAGTTGGGGATTTTTATTACAGGTACTTTAATATAGGACTACACGTTAGGATCAGGAGACAGTAAGACTTACTTACGTGAGGACGTGTCGGGAGAGTAGCAGAAGGTAAGACACACCCGAGTAAGGGTATGGCCTCCTCCAGGGAGTCAGCAATGAGCTGCCTTAGCTATTAGCCAAATATACCATTCTGGTACTCTCAGGTTACATCTCGGAGGTTACTAAGAATGTGTCTCCTCCTCCCCCTTTTCTCTCTTTCCTGATAAATGAGCGGGGATGGAGATGTTTAATATGGAGCATAATTTGGGGAGGTTTCTCAAGGAGTTTAGCATGTGTCCTTTCTCTAGAAGTGAGGTTTTTGGTGAAATTCCTTGGGAATTGAAGGTTTATAGCTGGAAGGGGAGAAAGGCCTTTGGCAGGAGTTGATTGTGTTGGGGAGACCTTCAACCAGATTCTTGGGTCAGGTAAAGAAAGAGCTTATCTCGACAGCTTTCATACTGCCCTGGACTGAATCCCCAGGTAATCTCAGCACAGGGAGGTGGAGGTGAGGGGACAAAAAAACTGAAGGGCATCGTAAAGCTACAAAGTCTGGGCTACACAAGATCCTGAAAAAAAAAAAAAAAAAAAAAAAAAAAAAAAAAAAAAAAAAAAAAAAAAAAAAAAAAA